GAGGATATATTTCGATAAATTTTCACAAGCGGCCTTCCAAATGTATAGAGGCTAAAGGAGGCAACTTTGGAAGTTTCTTGTAAACTTTTTTGTTCATTGTTATGACTATTGCTCTAATTAACGCAACTCCTTCAATTTAATGCATGCATTTGTTTATGCAATATTCTTTTACAGCAAAAATATATGAAAAGATATTAGGATTTTCCAAGCACTCTCTATATGCACATATATGTATACATGTGCAGTGCATCTATGTATAAATAACTAACTAAATAAATAAATATATATATATATATATATTGATACTTTATTGGTCTGTCTTCACAGTGTTTTTTTTACTGTGCGGATCTTAGTATTTCTAGCCTTCAATCGCTTTTTAGTAAATGTCTGGGTTTAATTACCAGGGATCTAGTTCGGGTATGATGACAAAGCGAGACTTGGTGCCAGCAGCTGTTTTATTGCCAACCCTCTCTTATGTACAAGCAATTTTCGCACCATTTGCAGATCGAGCAAATTAAACATTGATTTGAACAAGCCTAGAGCTGGTGAAAACGTCAGGCAGTTTACGACAGCTCATATTACCGTCTATGTACAACGAAAGAGTGTACAACATGCACTAAATTGGCGAATCGGGTACGTCGCTCTGTGTCTGTATACAAAAACTAACCGTCAAGGTTCAAACCAATCCATGTATCCCATAGGGGTCGTGTAGAGCACGGATACATAATGGGCAAGAAGTCATGACCCTCGCACGAGAATAAGAAGCCTAAGTGCGTAAGATTTCACAAGCGTTTTGGATGAACACCAGCAATACGGCGTAATCCGCAGGAATGCCTCGTAATCACATGTGACATGGCACAGTATATTAAAGTTGTTATTTCGACACGGGATGTATATCGCAGTCCATGTGATCTCTGCACGGTACACTAGAGAACTTACGAGAAGCGATGAGTACGTCGAAAAGTTGTTTTATGCTTGATGCGATTGGAATTTAGGTGTGGTGATTTCTCTCCTAATGAGTAATGTAATAAAGATAGTCGGCTGAGTGGGTTATGGGCAAACTGATCCTTCCAGGTTTCAAGAAGTAGAAACATTCGAAGCTAAGGATTGAATAAACTGTATCGCAACAACTTTGTGGCTTGCAAAAGCTGCCATTCATTGAAGAATGTTGGAGACGTATGCTCTGTAATTACGATCTGCAATTTTTGCCTTTTAGGTAAGGTATCATTCATAGGTATCATTGTCTCTAAAGAAAACGAGGACGTCGAGAAGTTAACTTCCAGATTATCACGTGGTGTCAATTTAAGCATTCAAAAAATATCGATTTGGTAATGTTGAGGTGGAAGCGGGGTTGTGGAGTGGTTAGTGATACAATGTGTCAAGAAACAGAGTGATATACAAGGCGCTTGTTAGGAAATTCGTCAAGACTATCTTTTATTGAAAGTTCTTGACTGCATGCAAAATATCAAGAAAACCGTCTTGACCACTATCCCGCGATATTCATAGGGAAGTCGTGAATCTCAAGCAATAGGCGAACTTTTTCGTGAGATATTAGAAAGAGTTATGGAATGTGAGGAGACGACTCGAATGCATAAAGCACTGAGATCCGCATAGTGAGATGTGATAGTGGTCACATAAATGAACTGAGAAAGGAATGGTGGACGATCCACGGTGCATTACGACTTGGCTGTGTTCGCAATAGTTAGGAAGCAATAGATTTCTTAAGCACTCACTCTCACCAATATTCTCGATTCTCTGCGACTGATGGAGTGCACTACTGTGAGAAATGCTCGACAACAAGAAGGCATCAATGCCCACCTCTGTGGGAATAAACTTCGAAAGTTGGACGCAACAGGACAAGGGAAGCACCCGAGACGACTCATAGTTGCTCTTTTCCATGATAACTCTTGATTTCTATTTGCACAATCGATTCGCCATATTTTAGAGAAACTGAGCTGGACCATGGTACCACATCCATCGTGTAGTCCTTCATATTGCTCTATCGGATTATCGTCTCCTCCACTTTCTTACGCAACATCTGTGGGAGCAAATGTTTGAGGGCTAGAACCAGCACAAAAGTGATGATAGCGATTTCTTTGGTCGACTGCCTCAATCATTCTAGGAATTGAGCATACATTGTGCTCAGCAAATAGTCGAATAGCACTGATTAAGACAGGGATTATATTGTCAACTAATTGTACTTGACTAAATAACAATCAAATTAACAAGAGTGTCAAAAGAAATTGGGACAATGCAGCACATATCAAGTGCCAGAATCACTCCTCATAAGTTACAGTATTACCAAATGTTGATGTCAGTGATAGCTTATATACAATTAGGGCGATCAAGCAAACCCTTCTGTGTAGATCTCTGTCATCCTCAATTTCTCCAGTGGTTTTTAATAATAAGAAATTATCATATTTGACTAAAAATTAGGCACTGCTAGTTTTGTGTGCCAGTATTCTGCAAAGTTTTACCATTTGTGCCATTGTCATGAAAATAGCGGTCCTTCTGCTAAGTCATGCAAATTTGATTTTCAGGAGAAAATGATTCAGTTGATTCTTTTGGAAATCAGTCCATTTTGTCAATCATCGATGGCGGTCTCATTTGAAAGGAGGATTTGGATCTTTATAGACACACTTGTATAACTCCATTGTTTAAACTGCTGATGAATATTATTATGAATCACCAGCTTACTGGTGACAATCAGGTGTAGAAAGCAGAGGCCAACTGTTACAGTAGCGAGTAAGGAAAGTCAAGTCTGTTGCAAACTCCTATAGACTTGCTTTGAAAAGATTCTGTTATTTAGAACATTCATTACCATTTTTGAGCGTCGGATCGACGATCTTTCTACTGCCTGCCTAACATTTCATATAACTCAATCGTTGACGGCTCTTGTCATGTTGTTGCCGTTAAGACTATATCTGTATAATAGTCCACATCTAAAAAAAAAAGGATGTCTGTTGCTCTATTCCTGAAATACACTCTTTCCTGCTCATGTGACCAGGGATACTTATTATCTTCTTCAGGCAGTTTGTGTGTTTACAAGTGCTAAACTATGATTACTACTTTTGGAAAATTATCTATGTTTTTCTTTCGGAGATGAGATTGAAAAGAATTATATGACAGTGGCCACCTAGGAATATGAGATCAAATTAAATATGATGGTGGCCAGTGCCTGCTGTTTGCTGCTTGAAATATTGGTGTGCGGAAGCGTTTCTTATCCGCGGTCATTAAGTTTTGAATGTACTTTGTTAGCTTCTTCACCTCGGATTAGCCCGATGTTCCCTTGCATTTCTTGAAATTAAGACAAATGTGATGCAGTGCTGCCTGAACGATTTGCGCTTGTTTGGTACGGGCTTGCTTCTGACTCCTTGCAACTCCTTCCCCCAACCAAACACTATTCGTTTTCTCCTTAAGCGAAAAGCTTAATATAAATAAAAACGTTTGGATTATTCTTCATTTCTCTTATTCAGCAAACACGAGGTTGTTAAAAGACACTTATTGATCGCAGTATAGACAGTACAATAAATATGGCGGCTTGACTAACGTCACGACAGTCTTGGCTTCTTCATGGTCGTTTTGTTGTTTTGTTGTCCACTGAATTTGTAGGACCAGTCGCAATGAATATTACATGGGAAAGGTGTGCCTAAAGTAGAACGTTCGATAGCCATTATCTAGCTTATAACTTTTTCGAAAGACAGATTCTATGCAAGTCAGTTTTGCACCTCTTTAAAAGTGTCGCCGTATTCAGCAAAAATTCTCGGCTAAAATATGAGATAAAAGGCCGTGAACAAATTTGCGCCAGTTTGACTATGAGAGTTACACAATCAGAAATAGTGATAGCTCTCGATGATGGAAGGAGGTTTTTATTATGGATGCGTGGACATGACTCACAGAGAGCGCATACGTGTCCAAAAGTAGCACTCCCTTTGACTTTTCGGTCAAATTATTTGGGAAATTATTGAATGCATAAATTCTCAGCAAGAAAAAACGCTCTCCAACTTCTAGTAGTAGAATTTCATATTTCCAAGGTCCACAAAGTATTCTAGTTGTCTCATAAAGCAGCAGAGGAATCATCTTCTAAGAGCTCACAATATCCCAGCTCACCACGTGTTCTGATCACCATAAGAATACTTCCAATTATCACAAATCCCTTATTACGCTAACACTTACAATAATATTCCTCATTTTTTATTCAAATTAAGCATTAAAATGTAAAGTACCTTGTAACAAATTAGTATTGAATTTTCAAATGTGGCACAGTTTTTTTTTTTTAATATTCGAACAATTAGCATGGGCCTCTTGATTTTCTGAAACTTTTTCAATTTTCAAGGCGTTACCAGAACATAGCCGTTATTCGATAGAAAGAGATTTGCTCCTTTCATCCATCTTCAAATACCTACACATGACTAATGAACTCCTAAACGTAAGTCTCTTCAGAAGGTTACTGAAATTTTTGTTATAATTCCTTATTCAGCGCACCTAAACGCGTTATTCAGCACTTTTTCCAAAGTAGATCGATTGTTTGTGAGTATTCAGTTTCAGTAAGTGATGTAAATCTCGTCAAAACAAACAACCAGAATAATGAACAATAGATTTAAAATAGTCCGGGCAAAGTAACAAAACTGATTTTTATAGAAGCTACGAAACGTTATAGGGTGTTCTCGCGAAAAAAACACGTCTTAACATGAATCAAATTCTTAGTTAATTTCTGTTAAACGAGGGCAAATGAAAAACCGATCTAATTGGATGAACAAGAACTTTTCGTAGGATTGTTAACAGTCATTCGATGCTCAAAGCTCTGGTTAGAGCTATGCGCGGCCTGTTTTCGCAAAGACCCATATGAGCTGCAAATTTGAAAATCAAATTGTGTTTCACGCATGCAGATCTCTCTCCTAGCGAAGCTCTTCTTCAGAATTTCTTATATTTTTACTGCTTTTTCGCTGTGTCATGATGTTGCAAGTACTTCTAAGAAAGTTGTGTGGTAAGCAAAATTCAACCTCAGATGGGAACTAAACCCGCGTTTCATCCATACCGAGGGCGTGTGCTACCACTACACCACAGAGGCCACCGCTTACTCACCTCTTATTCTTCAATATCTTTCTGTCATAGCTATCAGCCACCGACCATTAACAGGTTTTATCGGGTAATCAATATCGCTCTATAAACACCGGTAAGCCGAAAGCTATTGTGAGTACGCAATTTCAAGAGTTTTATGTTTCTAATGCTTTTTTTTGCTTTTTTCTAGACTATTAGTAATCATTCGATAGCGTGATGTCTGCTGATTGCAACGCTTTGTCTACTTTTTACAAAGTCTAGGAAAATTAGTGGGATTTATTTGCGCGAGCAAGTGTTTGTGGCCAAATCACAGGCCGTTGGCTCTGAGGCGGCAGGGAGAGCAGACGCGATTTTCGATATCGATTCTCGACCGGTCCTATGAAAGTGCGATCTAGAATATTCAATTAAAAGTGTTTATCTATTTGGCCAAATCACAGGTCGTTGGCTCTAAGGCGGCAGGTTGAGCAGACGCGATTTTCGATATCGATTCTCGACCGGTCCTATGAAAGCGCGATCTAGAATATTCAATCAAAAGTGTTTCTCTACTTTGGAAGAAAAGCTCGAGATGAAACGTATGACTCTGCTACAAAAAGACTCAGCACTTTTATTTTGTCACGAATACGGATTAATCGATTATCATTATGATCACTTTGATGGAATTCAGGAGGCCACAATGCCCTAATTGCTTCCTAGAGTGACTCGGAGTCATTCAGATACCACCACATTCTCTCTGCATGTTCATGCGCTTAAAAATCGGTCGATAATCGCGTTATCCGACCATGATGCGCCCCTCCCCCAAGCTCTTAACTTGGCCAAAGAGGAGCTGCCTGCGCATGAGAATTCGATGTTATTACACTGCACAGAAACGGTCTTTTTGAAAATCAAGCACAGCTTTGGAATCAGCAAACATTACGCTACCGAATGAGTGCTATAGCACAAAGAAAGGAAAAAAGTGTCTCTCGAGAAGGATGGGCGTGAAACGCTAAGGTTTTTTTTTAACAACGTCAAAAAAGGCTTTTTTAAAAATGAGGCACGTGTGTCTGCCCCCAGAGAAGGATTACTAGTACCAATATAAAAAGTTCCTGTCCAGCGAATGAGATCGGTTTTTCATTTGTCGCCGTCTAACAGAGAAGTACTAAATTTTCGCATCATATCCGTTATTCGCATCCTGCTTCAAACCAATGAGAACAATGCGTTTTCCGTTCTTTTCAAAATTGCAGCGACTATTTAATAGCTCAAATTTTGGAAGTCTTAGGGCATACTTGGTTTTTGAAATTGATGCCTCAGTGGAAAAATCAAAATTATGTCACAGCATTTTTTGCTGGATAAAGCATTTTCCCAAGACTTTCAGTAATGATTTAGCAGCTCACATCTCAAGAACTTCATCAATATGTTCAGTTTGAAAAATACTTTTTAGTGCGCTACTGTAGCCAAAGAAAATGGTTTTGCACTTGGAGAGAGTTTTTTTAGGCCAAGGTGTGTGAGTGGTTCTAATATAGACCGTGCGGTTGATTAGTCGCGCAGCGAGATTTGCATATGGCTTGCGACTTTTGCTCTGGAACTTAGTGTTTTTTCTCCGCTTCGGAAAAAATATAGACAAAACATATGACTTTGACAGTCTAAGATTTCTTCTAAGCGCTGACATGCTCTTCGTGTATATGTTGGACTGCTTAGGATTACTAAAGCGATTTATTTGGTAATATAGAATGAAAATGACTAACCAAGCCCACAGAACGATAAAACAAACTCTGCACACTTAACTTCAAAATCATCTAATTTATGTACAAGCGAGGTGGCTTGGTGCTCTTCTTGTAAAATTCCATCCACATACCGGAGCGAAGAATGCACGCCAAGTGCGATATGTAATTGTTTTTTGGCTGCTACAGCGCTTTGAGAAATTTTTTCGAAAAACCTAAAACATCATCGAAATCATTGAGGTTTGTGCTATCGAATTATTGTTAAGAATAACATCTATTATGAAAAATAGAAATAACTGTTAGGCATATTGTAATTTGAAGGTGGTCTAAAACATTCAAAACGAAAAGTTATATGTTTCCCGCGAAGAGCAGTAGACTATACAACACTGCCCGTTTGGTGATTTTATACTTATCTGCGCATCTGAGACTATCGTCGTGGATTGCTTTATGTGAAGTGCGTCCTACCTGGAAAGGGATTAGCTTAGACGGGCACCGTGCAACTGACGAGGCTGCAATGACGGAGCACGTGTATTGCCTTTATAAGTACCCATAACAGACCACATGCATGGCTCTAAAATGATTATTAGGCATACGGGAATTTGAAGGTGGACTAAAGAAGCACTGAAAATAAAGACAAGTTAGAAGTTTGGGGGAAAAACCCTGTCCAGTGCGACCCGAGTGAGAAGCGTAATTTTATTTTCAATGCTAGAGTTCACTAAAAATATCTTTCAGCAAAAAGTGTGCGATTGAAATTCTCCAAGTGTAAGCTACCGATATGCTACTGAAACTCTAAGAAAAAAGAGGAAAACATATTTTTCGAGCGATTGGTATAACGTGAAGATAACGAAAAAATACCAATCTTTTAACAAAAGCAAAATCAAAACTCTAGAAATAACAAATTTTTGGGAATCATTCAGAAATTGGCGTTTTCTCATGTACTTACATGCTTCCTTTTCTAAAAAGTCTGGACTGCAGTTATAAGCTCATCAAGCTCTTGTCTGCTGAACACTCATATTATCACAGAAGTGTTAGCTACTGTAGGAAAAAAGCTCTTATTACGCCCATAGTAATTCATTACGCATATGACTTAATCAAATACAGAAGGATCTGGTGACGAAATGCTGTTTCAATTTTGAAAATGGCACCAATAAGCGGTTACTAGCCTACATTCCAACGATCTTATAATTTTTCACATTCAACCCTCCTGAACCTGTTCACAACGCTGCTAGAATGTTCACGCTGTCCTTGCTATAAATGTTTTCACGTAAGATACTCTGAAATATAAATGAATTGCTGCGATTTTTGGAAAAGTAATCTCGCTGGATCATCTGAATAACGTTAAAACTAAAGAAATCCAGTTGAAATAGCAAATAATTTCATTTTTGTGAGCTGTCGGAGACCTGTGAGCACATGAGGAACCACGCCATCGACAGTATGATAGCGGCTAGTGACGAGGGGTACAGACCATAATCGACTCGCTTTCTGTCAACCTCAATCTACTCTCAATGGGCTTACCTTGCACACTGCTCAATGCACCGTTGCTATACGTTCTCTTAACTTCGAAAAAATTGCTTGAAGACTTTAAGGTATGTGAAGATTTTATCACTTACATTTCATTTCTGTTTTTGTCTAGTTGCAGTCTCTAATATCCACCTTATGAAAACTTTTTGAATGGTCCCTTTCATTTGGTAACATTTGAGCAAAAGTTCATTTTATTTATCACAAGCTATGTTGGTTCGTTAGTTGGCATTCATGCCGCTTGCGTGTATTCGAAAGATCTATAATCAATCGGTTATAAATCTCTATCATACTAAGTCATCACTAGGAATTCCTTGGTATATAAAGTTGCTGAGAGTTCACGATAAAGTGCCATGGTAGAAGCCTTTCGACCAATCTTGACGCATCTGCATCGACGTGTACAGTTTTTGCACACGCGTTTCAGTAAACTTTATCGCAGAGCATAACTTTTCACCAGACATCTTGGTCATTCGATCGCCGAGCCAAATTTTGATCCCAGATCCGAACTAGGTTGTGGAATATTCTATAACTTCTAAACTTTTGCGCAAAGAATTATTGAGCGCTTTCAGTTATTCAGGTCACAAGCAAATTTCACCTACAGTCTCTGCTTGTGTTTCAAAGATTAGCTTAGACATTTGTTGGCGTTGATCCTGTTCAGCAGTAGAATATGAGTCCAATGAAAAATTTATAATGATAGATGACGTCTTACATGTTCATCCTCCTCACCAAAAGTGATCGAAAGAATAAGTTTTTACAATGTGTTTATTGAATCTAATCGATAAGATGCCCACGAAAAATATTCTCTAGGCATATTAAAGACGCTGGTTAAAGTATAGAATGCCACGGGAAATTTGGTTGCGGTTTATATTCATCACATATATAGAGTCCTAAGCCTTGCTTGTACCTCACCATCTTTATAGTTATATCTCACGTCGTAGTTGCTGTCTAAAATTACAAAAAAAAAGATAAATAAAAGTTGTAACCTGCTTATGCTTGTTTTGCTCTTGTTATTTATCCTTTTATTATTATTTGAGCCAACTTGTCATGTGGTCTGGTAAGGGCTCTTGTACAGCCCGATACACGTGTTTCGTCCTTGCAGACTCGTCACGGACAGAACCCTCTTTCGATTTTTTTATAGTCAGTTTTTTAGGGAGCCCTACTCTCGCTACAGAGAGTTATCGAAGACGAACGTTTTGCACTCTATGTTAGGTGAGATTTTGACCTAACACAGAGTGTTGTACACTCGATTGTTCTCTGGCTAGTATTTTTATCATAATATACTCTTACTTCGAGTGTTTTGTTTAGACCACGCTCAAATTTCAAGATCCTTTCATTATTATTGGAGCCAACTTGTCGTGTGGTCTGGTAAGGGCTCTTGTACAGCCCGATACATGTGTATCGTCCTTACAGACTCAGACTCCTTGTTATTTATTTCAAGAGAATCAGATGATTTCTGTTACTATAACGTATAAAAACCGGCAATTCGGTGACAGTTCGTCATCCGTAGTCATTATGTTGTTGAGGCCTTTTTTACCGGAAATTTCGTAATAGACTTTTAGCAATTAATATATGGAAATCAATAAAACCTATCTTGATTAGCTGACGGGAGGTTGGTAAACGAGACGTAGTAATTCGTCTAACGTTTCGGCGAGCCACCTTCTTCAGAACCTTGGCGTATGCACTATTAGTCTTTAACTTATTATTGGTTAAATGCAAATTGCGGAGGTACAATGACATGGTAGTGTTTGACGATGTATCGATGCAATGCCTCTCAATCTTTCAAAAAAGATATCTA